AGTCAGCAAACTGCAAAATGAAAATGAAATCATGTTTAGGCAAAACCTGTTTAAAAAACAAAAAAATAATCAAGTGCTTTCTTTGAACCTTCAGGCGTTTTCTTTTTTGTCCTCTATATTAAAAGTGTTAACATTACAACAATATGAATTGGGACCAATTTAAGAACGCACAGAAACCCATGAAAGTTTAACAGTGTTTAAGAGAGCTCACGAACACTTGATGGACTGACAGTACAAGCTCTTATGAACTTAACAGGAAGACTTCAAAGTGTAAGAAGCAGTGTGTAGATCACTGGTGCTTACACACTTACCTGTAGTTTGTTACTCATCAAGGATTACGAGAGTTACCAATTCTGAGAGAACTGGGTGAGGTAAGGAGAGGGAAGTGACGGAAAATGCCGTAGGTCACATTAGATGCTGGAGAGTTGACAAGAAAAGTTATAATATACAATCAATTGACAAATAATAAACCAAATTTGTATAATCATCTCCAGCAGCCTGGAGGGCAGGGAGGAGAAATTAGACGCTCTCCAAGAATACAACGACTTTACTGACATCCTGGAGTCAGTTGATAGGCGATTGTCCAGCTTGGATGCGATGTTGTCCCTGCTGAAGATTTTACACCAGGAATTTAAATCCCTGCGGGAATCTCTGGAATTCAGCCAGAATAAGGTGGAAACGGTCGCTGCTAAAAAAAGTCCTCGCTACGGGACTGAGTTAAATCTGTAACTGAGAATGTGGCCCATCTTAATACAGAAAATAAATGCAGGCCTGTAGTATGAGACAATATGTGTTTTCTGGTATCTCGGAGTCTGCTGAAGCAACTAATTAAAAGCTACGATCGAGTCCATCGTCTCAGACCTAAGAGGGTGCTGGGAGACAGCATCCTGTTGTGGAAAGACCAGCGAAAAGTTGCATCAAGGAGGTGAAAGGATTGGACTTCAGCATAAACCACCATTTCCCTAACGAGATCCTGGAGCAACACAATGTCTTGTTCCCAGTCTTCATTAATAAGGGCTCTACGTGGACGGACAGCTCTATCGTGACCCTGCATCACGCCCTGGTTATATTAACATCACTGCAGATAAGAATCTGAAACGTTGCTTCAGACGCCAACTACACTTAAAGAAAACAGTTCTGTGAAAATGAATTCTTGCTGTAGAAAAAGTTGAAAAATATTCAATATTCACAGCTTCACTAAAAGGATATTTGATTAAATATGAAGATTTTGTAAGGCTGTTGTACTTTGTATGAAAACAAAGTGAAAAAACATGGACGTATTATTATTTATAGGTAATTATGTTATGATTGTACTGCTTTGGCCCACTTTACATCTAATTAGGCTGCATGTTGACCCGTAAACCAAAACGACTTTGACACCCCTGATATACACTATAATAACCTGACTGGAACATCAACATCTTTCCTCTGGGAAGCAGGGAAAGCTGTGATGAGGTAAAATTATTTCTTTCTTTTTTTTTTTAATGAAAAAAAGAACAAAAATATTCCTGAATTGGAAACAAAAACATCACCAGGGGTGGTAGTTACATTCATAGGAGGAGATCGAGATAGAGAGGGATCCAGGGGCAACAACAAGAGACAACATCGACACATTAGAAAAGTACAGTAAAGAAAATAAGCGACACCAAGAAAAGAAGCAAAATCTGAAACCATTTCAATTTTATTGACAAAAGGCAAAGTGTAGAGTGTGCAAGAAAAGGATATCACATAGAACTCAAACAACCTGCACAGACACCTGAGAACAGTCCACCCATCAGTGCACTGGGAAGATAAAACACAGTCAAATGAGAGTGATGTTAATGAAGGTGCCAGTGTGTCTACTGCAACTGTAGCTGCTGCAGTATCTACAGCATCATGCAGTATACCACCACAACCACCTAAACCAACCCAGAGCTCTATGAGAAAGTTTTTGCAGACGTCTGTGACCCCAGCAAGACAGAACTTAATTGATAAAGACCTGTCCAAAATGATTGCACTTGATTTCAAACCATTTTTAGCTGTGGATGATAAAGGATTCAGGAACTTATTCATACACTGAATCCTATGTATGTTTTGTTGCATGCAGATTGAGGATAGTTTCTTGCTGACGGTTGAAGTCCCGCATAGTCTTGATGTTTATTTTAGAAAGAACCGCATCTTCCACCAGAACACGATGCTGGATTCGCTCACAGGCCTTTAAAATAGAGAGTTTCTCTGGACTGTTGTGACTACCCTGAGGTGAGCACAACCACAAGTGTTTAGTTTAACTGTTGCTCCGAGTGCTGATGGGACGTTGTGCGGGTCCCTAGCCCTTGGCCATCTTTACTGTTTGTATAAGAGCAGCATCAACGAGGTCATCCCTGTCAGTGTGGCAGTAGAGGGTGTTGTCCCAGTGGGTCTTGTACAGCTGGTTAAACTATTGTGGCTGCTTGTCATGCCCCTCCACACCGAAGGACCTTGTTCCTCTGCTCAGCAGTAAGTGATAATTTGTCCTCTATCAGGCTAATCTCCACTAACACAGAGCAGAACATTTCCAGCTTTTCAAATCCAGGATGGCTTTTGTACTGCAGGCATCTTCCTGTAAAATGGATCCCATACAAACTTGGTCGGTAAATATATAAACAATTGTCTTTGTTTTCAGACAAGCAATGGGTGTTTTAATCGTTGCTTTGATGTACAAACTTTGTCCCTCATATGAAAAGTAAACCTAGCTACTCACACAGACTGGAGGGTGAACAGTGGAGGTTATAATTGGTGAGTGTAATGTGGGGAAGGACAGCATGCAGCACAGTGTCGCATGCCTCCTCGTCACTCTGCAATGTTTCACC